ATGAGCCATATAGAGAATAAAGTAGTCATTTTTGCCTGATTAGAGAAAGTAAATTTTGGTATAATTTAGATTTCTATTGTCCGAATGATTTGGGTTTCAAAGGCACCCTATACACTTACTATAAAGGACAACACGAAATAATTTTTACCTTGGTGAGACTTGGCCAGGTGCGATCTATACTATTGATTGACACTTGTTATTTCTAGAGGCATTTATTCACCACTTCCCTCTAATGTTTTTAAACCATAACCCAATCCTTCTATAAGTTCATGGTTTCATACCACCTCCTTCCTTAAAGCCTTTCCATTTTCAAGATGTTTGGACCTTACACCACGACTTTGGTCGACTTGTCAAGGATACTTGGAATACTACTTACGGTTCTCTTCATGATGCTTTAAATGACATAGCTCGCTACTTTCACACATTTCAATAACCACTCCTTTGGTAATATCTTTTATAGAAAAGAACTATTTTCAGAATTGATGGGATTTAGCATTCTCTATACTCTCGGCCTTCACAGTTTCTAACTAAGCTTGAGATTGACTTACAAAAAGAATACTAAAAAACTTTTCACCAAGAAGAGCTATTTTAGTTCCAAAAGTCTAAGGTCCAATGGACTCAACAGGAAGATAGGTGTACTCATTTCTTCCATGCCACAACCATTGATAGAAAGAAATGAAAAAAATTAAGAGATTTTTCCTAGAAAAGGGCATTTGGATATTGGATTTGAATGTCTGTAAAGGATGAGGTTCTCTTTTTATTTTGAAACTTATTTTGTAATGTGGAGAACATCTCTGCTTCTATCTCTCCTCTAGCATGCTATCGTACACTTGATCGGTTTCAAATAGAGGACTTGCTAAAACCTATTACTAGAGTTGAAGTTCTTGCTGTTGTTAAATCCATAAAGGCTTACAAATCCCCTAACTCATATGGTTTTCAGCCGGTGTTCTACCGAAGCATTGGTCCACTTGTTAGAGATTCTATTTTTCAAATGATACAAGAAGCCTTCAATTTTGGTGTCTTCCCCTCATAAATACTAGAGATCTTGATTGTTTTGATCCTTGAAAGAGCAACACCCAATTAGTATAAAGCAATTTAGACCCATAAGCCTCCGTAATGTGAATTATAAAATTCGTACAAAGGTTTTAATTCAAAGAATGAGACCCTTGATGGACTACCCGATTAGCCCTCTATAAAGTACTTTTATTTTCATTCATATGGGTACAAATAATATTTTGTTAGCCTAGGAGCTAATGCATAACATTTGAAGACCGAAAAAAGATTGAGCTCCCTTATAATTAAAATTGACTTGGTTAAACCTTATGATAAGGTTGATTGGTAGTTTTTACGTTAAGCATTGATTGATTCTAGCTTTCCACCTAAATATGTTCAACTCATTATGTCCTACACTTCTAATTCCTTTTTGTCCCTTCTATGGAATGGTAACAAGTTGTTGATATTTTGTTCAAAGTGAGGGCTTTGCCAAGGTGACCCTCTATCTCTATATCTATTTATGATTTGCATAAATAAGCTTTCACTACTTAGTGAACACCAAAGTGGCTAGGAACATGTGGGAATGAATCTTAGTTTCACATGGTGGCTTGGCAGTGTTTCACCTCCTCTTTCTCGATGATGTGATACTTTTCTCTCATGCTTTTCATAATCACTATAAACTGGTATTAGATACTATGAAGCAATTCTATGCAAGCTTAAGGATGCTATTTAATGATCAAAAAACCCATGTCTACATCTTTCTCTACACATCTCGTTAGTAGTAAGAGGAATTAAGAAGATGTCCGAACTTCTCCTTTACTTTAGACTTGGGTAGTTACTTAGGATTCCCTCTTTTTATGACAAGAAATGAATCCTCACTCAAACACATCATTGAAAAGATTCACTATTGTCTAGCGGGATAAAAATCTAAGTTGCTAAGTAAAGATGGTCACTCGCTCCTTAATTCAATCAATTGAGGATAGGTTTAACATCCATCTAATCAATTGGGAATCTATTATTGCTCCTACAAAGAGAAGTGGTCCGGGTCTATGGATGGCAAGGGATAATAACATTATTATATTAGGAAAACTAGGGTGAGATTTGATTTAGGAGATGGATAAACTCTAGTTCCTATTCTATCCTAGAAACACTTACATGGCAAGTCACTCATGGCTTATTGTCCCCTCGGATAGCCTATTCAACGTGGAAAGCTATCTATAAGTCCTTTTTTACTTGAATTATAGTTATATTTAGCATATTGGTGATGGTTAGAAGATCTCTTTGTGGTTTGATAGATGGTTGGGGTTAGTTCCATTAAAGCATTATGTGGCTAACAATGATATAGAGGAGAGGGATTTTTTAGTTGCATATATCATCTTAGAATATAAAAATTAGGATATATCTCATCTTTGCACTTCTCTATCGACTCATATTCATGTCTTTATTAGCTACCCCTCTTATTAGAGTCTTTTCTTCAACGGATAGATTAGCTTATAGAGAAAACAATTCAAGGTGTTATACTTGGTAAGCTCTGGATATGAGTTTATTACTTGGGTTCCTTACCCAACAAAGTTAAACATCCAATGAAAAAGCATTTAGAGTCTAAAGTTAGCATAAAAGCATCATTTTTTCTTATGACAATTGAAGTGGCAACGTCTCCCACTAGTATTTTCATAGGGGCATGTCTACTTCTCCTATATGCCGGAGATGTGACGTGGCTCAAGAAACGATGATTCATATTTTTTGTGATTGTTTTTGGGCTCAAAATATTTAGCAACGAACTACATTACCTAAATATTTTCATTGATTTCTTCTCTACTCCATGGGAGGACTAGTTCCATAGCAATGCCTTTTGCTCTTCTAATCCTTGGCACCAATGTCGATTCTATATTCTTACATGCTGGATTATTTTATGTGCACATAATAAAGAAGTTATTCAAGGTACTTTACTTTCTTTCGAATGTCGGGTAAGGCTAATTCACTCTTTGACTCATGACTATGTTTTAGCTTTTGAATATCCATCTCCCCGCCCATCGACCTCTCTCTCGGTCTTGGATTTCTTGGTTAGCTCCCTTCCAAGACTCAATTAAGTGTAATGCTAACTGCAGCTTTTTGAGCTCTATTGATGCTAGGATTGAGGGTCTTATTTGAGACTACTATGGTGTGTGAAAAATTGATTTCTTAAGTTATCTTGGGCACTCATCTACTATGATGGCAAAATTAGAAGCGGTTCACCGAGGTCTCATTCTTGCTTAGGATTGACTTTCAAAAAATGATTATAAAGATTTGACTCTTAAGAAGCGAGTCAATACTATGCATAATGATGTTCTTCGGACCCATCCTAACTACTACATTATCATAAACATTTGTTGTTTCTCTCAAAGACAGTGGTATATATTTTTTAATCATACTTTTAGAGAAGGTAATAAGGACATCAACTATTTCGTCCGTATTGGTTCGTCAAATGATACTCTTTTTGAGTTTGGAATCATGCTTCGTCGGGTACTGGAGACATTCTGTCTAGTGATGTTGCTATTTCTATTTCTTGAGGCCTTAGCTTTGCACCTCTCCTCTATAGGGAAAAAAAAAAAAAAACCCTTCGTCTCAAGAATTAACGTGAAGGATTTTTTTGTTGAGCAGGCCATTCATGGATGTTACCTTTTCCCTACCAGGCATTTGATGACAAGACTTTTGTGGGTAATCGATTGAATAGTAGTGCTGCATTTTAGTCAATAACATTTACTACCACCAGATTGATAGCATTTACAAAGTGGGCTTTTAGCTGAACACACCAGCTATTGCTTACTACCGGTAGGTAATCTGTAAACCCTGATGGTGCAGCTGTTGCTCAGTAAGGGCCCCGACAATCACATTACATGTATTCCTCAGAGATACCATTCTCGACTTTCAGGGTCAGGGAGAACCATCATTTTATTTATGTCTGGATTTGAGGTCCTGTGCCAAGTTAAAAATGAACCCATGTCACGAGGTCTATTAATATCTCCCTATATTTCTACTTGAGGGATGCCTTGGTTACCAGAGCTCAAGCCCACGTGCACTTAGGTTTACCATTCTCGACTGCTTGTACACTTACGAAATCACTTACTCACAAACCACATTTAGCAAACTCCCAAAAAAATACTACTGAGATCACCGTTTTCTAACGAATAAAAAAAAAAAAAAAACAAGTCCATTTCAGTCGGTGGCGTGTTGCAGTTTCTAATTCACAAAATAAGATCAACTGCCATTAGAGTTTCTAACAATTCACTCAACATTACTAGATAGATAACGCGCTCATAATAGAATGAGTACACCTACAGAACCTGAAGAATTTGCATTACACCTTTAAGAACGACCACAAATTTTGAACAATAGAGAACAGATATGCACCAAACGAACAGAAGAGTCGGTCCTAAAAAGAGGCTTGCAACTAACCATACAATCAGAACAAAACCAACCTAAGGGGGCAGAGGGACCAACAATGTCGAGTTGAATAAAGAAGTCCAAATAAACAACGACAAACCAGACGGCGGCCTCTCAGAGATTGAAGCAGTCTGTCCAATTAACCCACCGCCAATTTTGACATCGAGAAATCAAGCAACTTGGTGCCCAACCGACGTCAGACCAAAAACCAAATCTAACAACCAATTTAGTTTTGCTCTGGCATTTTTCAAAACCAACACCACCATATCAATCAAAATCAAGTAAAAAAACCCAAGGACTTTCAACAAACTAAACTACAAATTAAATTCAAAATAATAGCTTGTGTTCAAGTACCACTTCACTGTGGTACCAGGTCCAGAAAAAGTACCAAGAAAAAAAATATAAAACGAAAAGTAACACAGTTTAACAAGAAAATATACCAAGTTTCATCCAACAAGATGAAGGACACCACCTTATGTTAACCGAACATTACACACACAGCCTAACACTACAAACCCACAAACCTATCCTATCTACTACCTAAACAACTTGGCTGCTGATCAAAGACCATTTCAGCATGTCAATTAGGCACGCTCGCCCCTGATCCTCCTAGCCAGCTGGATATCCTTAGGCATGATGGTGACACGCTTGGCATGAATGGCACAAAGGTTAGTGTCCTCGAACAAACCAACCAGGTATGCCTCAGCTGCCTCCTGCAATGCCAACACGGCATGGCTCTGGAAACGCAGATCAGTCTGCACAGCACCAGTACAGTCATTAACATCAAAAAGCCATATCTACCCACCAACAAACACCATCAAGACAAAGAACCAGAGTTAATATATACCTTGAAGTCCTGGGCAATTTCACGAACAAGCCTCTGGAATGGGAGTTTCCTGATCAAGAGCTCAGTACTCTTCTGGTACTTACGGATTTCACTGCATTGCAAAACATCAACAGAATAGCAATTAGCAAATTGTCAAAAGAATACAAGTCGGAAACAGTAACTGTACAAACAGAACATAACCCAAAAAAAGACCAATGGAACAATTGACTCACCGCAGAGCAACTGTTCCAGGGCGGTAACAGTGAGGCTTCTTAACTCCTCCAGTGGTTGGGGCAGACTTACGAGCAGCCTATTATTATCACACAAGACAGAAACTTCAATATAACAGATTATCACAATTTACAAAAAATTAAACAAGCCAAGAAAGAAGTAAATCATTGGATCTAATGGTATAAAAGAGAAAAATTACCTTGGTAGCTAGCTGCTTCCTTGGTGCCTTTCCTCCAGTAGACTTACGGGCAGTTTGCTTGGTACGGGCCATCTATACACAAACAAACCAAATCATCAGAAACCATCATCCACACATCCCAAATTAGAGATATATTAACTTTCATTAACACAAATTCATTCGGGTTTTGCATGCCCTCTTTTTGGCCTCCAAGGAAATAATTGAAAATCTAAAGAAAAATATAATCAAAATGCATGCATTATATAGAATTTGTACGTTTGGTCACGAACAAAAGTGCCTTTCCTTGAATTTTCTCAGAAACCAAGCATAACCACAATTCAACAGAAGTCAACAATAAAATCTTTACAAATTAAGTATAAAATTGACACAATTACAAAAAAAAGTACGAAAAAAACAATTCAATCAATACTAAATTGGGGAAAAACCCTAAATCCCGAATCTAATTACTACAAATATAGAAGTTAAAATTTAGCAATTGTATCAAAGCAATTACACAAGAAACATAACCTAAAACAAATTGGACAAAGAAAACCTAAATTTCAAACAAGATCTGTCAGTTTCCAAAAAGCGAATCAAGAACCCACAAAGTCACCCTAAAAAATCCAAAATCCCTTAAAACAATCTTCAATTTCAAACAAAACGAAACCCAAATTATAAAACAACTTGATCAGAAACACTAATTAAGAACAAGAGAAAAGAGGTACATAAAAAACACACCTTTGAATCTTCTCAAGAATCTCTCCCTCTAATTCAAGAAAATTTTGGAAAGTTCGCTAGAGAAGGCAGTCAAGGCCTATTTATAGAGATATAGAGCTGGAATTGGACGGGTAAGATTGGACATCTTTGTGCTTTCTCTATTTATTATCGAACGGTTTAAACACTGTTAAGTTGTGTTTTCTGCATTTCATATGACCGGCTAGGATGTGGTTTTAGGTATTCACGCGGATCGTAGAGGATTAATTCTCTATTCTTATTGGTTGAAGGACGGAACCCTTTTTTTGTACTTTTCATGTAGTCAAGAAGTTAGATGTGGTTGGTCCTATGTATCATGTATTTTGTCAGATGTTCAGAACTAGGAAATTGCAAGGGAGCACTTGCTTATATGCAATTTTAGAAACTAGGATACCATATGCCATGTATTTTCCACGTTAGCTATTTATGTATTTCTTTTTTATAGTGGATTTATGTTTTTTTAATATATTGATAAAGCTCTAATTAAAACCAAAGTTAATATTTAATTCTCTTTCCTTTTCATCTGAAGTGATTATTGTGTTATTAATTCTAGTGTGGTGTTAATAATTCTTTAATACACTCAAAATATTTATTTATTTTCTATAGTTGAATTATTCTACTAGGTTTGTTAAAATATTAATTTTGAAAATACGAGTATATAAATGAGATAAAATTTATCCAAGGTTTTAGAGACAGTGAGAAACTAAGGATGAATAAGAGAGACTATTTTGATTTGTTGAAAACAATAAAAAAAAAAAAATTATTTTTGATTATAAAAAATCTCGAGTTTGAATTTATAAATAAATAAATAAATAACCTTGATTTGAGAAATAAAAATGCCTTGTCTTAAGATAATGCATTTAAAAATACCACATTTTGGAAAAACTATAACTCGATCCATGAAAAAAAAAATGGCATGTTAACATCAATTGAAGGAAATAAAAATAAAAAAAAATCACCAAATTCCATTTAAGTAAGCAAGCGCATCTTCCGTCTGCAAAATAACTTACATTTACATTTCATCCTTGTATTTTTAATATTTTTTTGTATAATTTTTTATTTTTTTATTCATCAAGTTTTTTTATTCTAAATATTTTCTTAATATAATTTATTCAATAGAACTTTAGTCAATTTTTCGATAACAAATGACAAAAAAAAATGCCACGTTAGATAATAACGATATGTGTCAATAAAATTTTAATTTTAAATTTCTATTTTTTAGTTTCATGTTATTATTTTTTGAATTTTAATTCTATTTTACATGTTTTGCTACTATATAACTTGACAATTCATCTGTCATTTATTATTGAAAAATTAATTAGAATCCTATCGAATAGGTTACGTTAAGAAAAATGTCTAAAATAGAGAGACTAAATGAATAAATAAAAAATAATAGAGATAATATATATATCAAAAGTACATTGTGAAATTTACGGATGATCTTCAGTTTTACTAAATATAAAAATAGCTAGAAGAATGAATCAAGTGTTTCTATACGTTTTTGAAATTTTCTTATTCGATTGCATTTTATATATATATTTATACTTGTAACTAATGATAATTTATATATGTTTTTATTAATAAAACAACATGATGTTTAGTTTTTTTATTCATTAAATAATTATTTTGTTTTAATTATTCATCTTTAACCTTGGCCCTATAAACGACATAATACAAACATCTAATCAAATTAACAAAAGTGTTGAATAAAATCAGCGAGACAAACAATAGAGATCGGGAGGTCAATTTGAGCCAAAATTATGTAGGCAAGTCAAATTATTATTTAACCACGTGTCAGCAATAGAAGGAAGAATAACTTTTTTCTTTTCCAGGAAAACCAAATGAAAAAGAAACAACGAGTATATTCAAGGAATTCATTCAATTCGCCCAAATCTGGTAGACTAGCACGGAGCAAGTGCATAAATCATTTTGATTTGAATTTAGCACGTCACCTTATTGGATTATACACTTGAACGTTGAAACTTGGAATTGAAATTTTCAACTATTTTCTTTTTGACAATTAATTTTACCTCTGAGTTTATTTAACAAGAAAAAAACACAAAAAAAAATGGTTGAAGCTTATTTTTAGAATCATTTTTTTAATATTATTATTACTAAATATTTTTCAACTTTTTTATTTTTATTTAAAGGAACTTTTGATTACCTATCAAGTCAAAACTTTATTTTTTATTTTTTTAAATGCAAATAGTATTTTATAAACAATTAAAGATGTACAAATATAATATTGTTTTCATAATAACAATGTAAACGAAAGCGATGCCAATAGTAGAAATTGAATCTTTTTGCTTGAAAATTATGATCGAAAAAACTCGAGAAACATGTATTCCAAGTAGCAAATGGTTCTTTTAATAAGATCAAATTTTATATATATATATATATAACACATAGAACTATTGGTCAAATTCACATATACCCATAATTTAAAAGAAAAATATTTGACTGTCATGAATTATTTTTTTGTAAATAATAAGCACCTTCAATTATTTCTCTAATATTGATTGCATGTGACAACACGTGATGATCAGAAAAAATAGTCTTTAAAAAATTATTTAATTATCGTGAACTATAGGTAAAGCTCACATATATCCATAACCTTTAAAAAAAATTATTTGACTACCATGACTATTTTTTGTTTGAAAAATGTATTGGCAAGAATTATAGAAACAAGTATTTCGAATAATAAATTATCCTTTTAATAAAGCTAAATTATATAGAGACATCTTAAACTATTAGTTCAACTCACATATAATCATGACCTTTAAAAAAATTATTAGACTAGTAAGAACTATTTTTTGATAAATAATAGGTCTCTGCACCGGTTCTTCGATGTTGAGTGCACATTATGACTAGAAAAATTAAGAATCATGATTTCTCCACACCACACCTTTCTTCACTACAATTCTTACTATTCAAGATCTTTAACCTCTTTTTACTTCTCATACCCATCTTCGTCCGAGTGAGTTAAGCTAAAAAAGCTCAACTTGATGACCGATAGTCAAGTTCACACCAACAAATTTGTCAAAAATCAAAGCAAAAAATGTTATAAATGACAACAATTTAAGCACAATGGTGAAAAAAAAATAACGAGAAAAAACTATTAAAATTAATCACCAATTGTTAGCACTTCAAAAATTAAAGTCACGCCGATCACATGAGGTGTCTTCTTATGAAAAACATTAAGGATAAATGGAACGGTGCATTTTGATGTTATAACTAATTAAGTTTTGACAAAGCTTTAGTACTTTAATAAAATGATGTGTTTGGTCTTATAACCAACCTAGTTTCGATGAAGCCTTAGTGCTTTAATAAAACGATACGTTTGGTCTTGTCACTAACTCATTTTCGACGAAGTCTTAAGTCTTTAATCAAACGATGTGTTTTGGTCTTATAACAAACTAAGTTTCGATGGAGCCTTAAGCCCTAAGTAAAACGATGTGTTTAGTCATATGACCAATCGTGTTTCGATAAAATTATAGGAGTTAAATAAAACAATGTAATTGGTCCTACTTTCGACCAATTTTGACAAAGGCAATATGTACGAAGAAAACAAGAAGACGAGTTACTAATAACTACTCATGCTTGAATTTAAATGAAGAGCGAGTTGTTAGTTAAAAGTTATTTAAGGAGGAAGGACCAACAAAATTAGACACGATCAACAACATAGACTTCCTAGAAAAATTTTTATCTAAAATTTAGATTATCTTGTAACAATTAGTTCCTATTTTCTTGCAAGCATCACATTAGTCCTTTACTACTTTTCCGGTAGATTTATCTTCACAGGTGTTGATCTATTATAATGGCATCGAATATCTCAATAGTTAACAATGTAAGTGTCATATCTTTCGATTTATGATATTTACTCGTTTAATGAAAATTATCTCTTCGATTGATAAGATTCCATTTATTTTTATTATTTATCCTTTAAATTAAGTATCCACGAAAAGTGCTAGTGGCTTGCTAAGTGTAACGTAACTCTATAGTATTTCATCGCGAATGGCTTAATTACAAATTAAAGTGTCGATATCCTTTGTTTTAAGATTAAATTTGTCGAGCAAGCAACACCAATTCATCAATGATAAGGTTGATGAATATGATGATAGGTCTTTTGATCAACTATTTGAAAAGTATAGGCAAAAAATAGATAACAATGATGGGCATCTATGATCGTGTAAAAAGAAATTGTCATGATATTGTTTTGGAAACTAAATAATGGTACCGCAAAAGAGATTTGCGGTACCATCATTTATTGTTTGTTAGTAGAAACATAATCCCCGACAAGTTTGGAAGCATAATCCTTTCTAATGTTAGTAGTTGTTTTTGCTCGATTTGCACATCTACTTGGAATATTATTTGTTATACCCAAAAAGAAGAGATTGAAGTAGAGATCAAGGGTTTGTAATTCCCAAGAAAAGCCTAAGTAATTATGATACTAACCATCATCATCATCTTGAAGAAGAAACCATGAATACTATTGTTTGTTAGTAAACGAATTAAGTAAAAAAATAAAACAAAAAAAAGAAACAATTACATAATATAAGATTTATATGATTCGACAAATTGTATTTGCTCCACGGATACATTAGTAGTTCTTATTAGGATTTTTCAATTAACGGCTACAAATATAGGACATATTATTTTATTTATCGCATGGATAGCTAGAATTATTAAAGAAAAACCTTTATGGGTCATACATCCGGTCTAATATATCATAAACTATTGTGTTGACTCGACATAGCAAAGTAAACTATGAATCATATCTACATCAATTTCTATAACTTAATATTGTCTTTGATAGGAAAAAGGAGAAGAACAAGAATTCTTATTGGGTTTGTCAACCAAAAAAACATTTAAGACTAATGCTACAACTGATCACAAAGATAAGAAAGAGGGAAAAGAGAGAAAAAGATGATTAGTAGTAATAAGAAATGAAGCTTTGATAATCATGAGGAGAAGTAGCGAAAGCAGTCGACAAAGAAAGAAAGGAAGAGTGATGAAAAGGTCGTAGTACAACTTGGGTTTTGATTATCTACTGAAATAAAAGCTCTAATCGTAGAAGATGGAAATGAGCATTCCTAGATGAGAAGGACCAACAGGGGGATGGACGGAGATAAAAAATAGTGGACCTGGAATGGGAAAAATTCAATGGACTAGATAATTAGTTGGTTACGTGTTAATTTTTCAAGCAGTCACGTACAATTACGTGCAGTCAATGTTAAAAAAAATGATCGAAAAGGTTTATTATTTATCAAAAAATAGCTCAGAGTAGTTAAATATATATATATATATATTTTTTAAAGATTATGGGTATATGTAAGGTTGACCAATAGATCGAAGTGTTTTTGCATAATTTAACCTTTTAATAATTTAGACTTCAAATAAAACTTTCTGAAACTATCAAACCTGGACTGCATTAATAGGAATTTATAACATCACAAACTCATAAAATGAACTTAAATCAACACAAGTCAAAAGAAAACAGACTACATTATCATACTCTAATAATAGAAGAACCATATTCGTCAATCATCCCCAACATCTTCAATCCAACTAGAAACAAATATTAAAACATTTTCTCTTTTTTTTTTTTTTAATCTACAAGGGTATTATGAGCTTAATTATTAGCGCAAAGTATAATTGATTAAGTCAAACAATTTGAATAACAAGAGAAAATCATAAACCAATAGAAACGTAATTATAAATCTTAAATGTGAATTCAATTCATCACATGGTCGTCATGATTATAACAGAATTATAGATTAATTGCCTTTGGGTGCATGTATGCTTCCAATCACTTAAAATTACAACAATATAATAATCAATTACATCAAATTATATGAATACTCTTCGTTTACAGATGCCTCTCCAACGGCTTCAACAATAATGTATGAATACATTGCCACTATAAGTTTGCGTGTCAGCGATTAAACAAGCAGAAGCAACCATGCTGGACTAATATTCGCTTCTTGACCACCAGCTTAAGCCCTATCACCAAATTATACTCCTTTGAAGTGCCCTTAGTTATTTACCTCATAACATTAATTGAACTTGAGAGCCAGAAACCTGCACTTTTATCTTGCTTACGTGTCATTGAATTGAAAACAATCTGTAACCTTCAGGTGATTTGCAAGCCAGATTACAGCTGACTGCACAACTTCAGATCTCGCAGGGACAGAACTGGGAAGATGAGGTAGGCAAACGGGCAGATATTGCTCATCATCTTCAGGAGGGCAGAAAACAGAGAGCACTGATCTGCAGAATATGAATCTGGACACACATTCCATAAACATATGTTGGTGGATTAGCTAAAATCCAATAGTATCCAAACTAAAAACAAATACTATTAAGTTTTATCGTTTTTTTAGAAGCAACAAAGAACTGACAAAGAAAAGGTCCTGCTCTTCGTGGTCAACCTATTACTGTAAGATACCCTTTCAACCACAAGTCAAGAACCATCAGGTAGTACAAAGAATATTGAATAATTTCCTAGTTTACCACTGATTTGCTTCTATTGAGACATAAATATACCTAAGAATAAGCCTCCGTAGAAATGGATTGGATAAAACTTCTGCCCAAACCAGATCCAGGCCTTTTGATGTACAAAGAATAACCTCCCACTCAGACGATGCAGTGGAGAGCATCTCCTCAGCATCATTGTAAAAACCCTAAAAGCACATTCCCATTAGCAATAAAAGAGCAACCAGGAATAACAAGATTATCATAAAAATTTAAGAACTTAGGCCAACAAACTTACCATAACGCAATCACCAGAAGTGAGGCCAACCATCTGGCAAAATGCCTGCAGAGGAGCAGTCAAGAAAAAGGTAAACTGATTTCCCCTATGTGTTGTATCGACAGCAGATAGGTTCTTGAATGCTGGTCTCAAAGGTGAAAGAAGTAAGGCAGCTGGCTCTCCCTTTTATGCACCACGCAGGACCTGAGAAATCATCCACAGTTCTCAAATACGCAACTTGAAAGATAGACCAGAACTCTAAAGGGCAAGGCTGAAACGCAGAAAATCCTAGGTATGATGCACCCTGCAGATAACGGAAAAGGAAGTTTTGATAATATTTTCCACATAAATCCCATTGAAAATATGCTGCCAAGACAATTTCACCTTAGTAGAAAGTAATCGGATCTAAATACATGTTATAAGGTGAGGCTTTATGTACTCAGCTGCTTCCTCCCTAATCCATTAAAGATTAATGGATTAATAAATTCCATCGTACTCACTAGCAAAGGGGGTTGGTAGTAAATCAGCTCTAGCATATTGCTTAAGGGATTAAATTCTATCAGATCTACGTACTGCATGCATCAGTTTAATATATCACTTGAGCTTTGGAATCTACTATGAGCACCAGTGGAACACACCAGACCAGCTGTAGATTAAAAGCGTTTTGTAGATCGATTACTCTGGTTCACAATTTCTCATATAGAAATGTGGCAATTTTCAAGTACATTATACCAATTGGTATTATCATCTATACATATCAGATATTGATCTTCATCTTTAATGAACAAATTTATTACCTAACACAAATTCTAAATCAGTAACCAATCAGTTTAAAATTGGCATAACGGATAGCAAGTTAAACCCAACAGTTTGTTTGACGAAAGGTAGTGCAATTTTAACCTGCCCACGCATGTCAACAGCCAAGTTATTCCAGTGCATGCACTAATGCAATATTGGACGTAGAAAGATCCTTTGCAGCACGCATATATTTATTTTTGAACAATCTGCAACTTATTTTCTCTTCCCCCGAAAACACAGACACACACACCAACAGACAAGCATATGCCACAATCCATTATGCTCAATAATATTTGTAGACATGAACAATCTCACTCACAAGCCAGAAAAAATCAATTCTTAAAAATATAGACTGGCACAATAAATCCAAATTGTATGACAAGTCATATGCAGGTTATGAAAAACCTGCCTTGAATGCATGGCTGTTGTCACTATCAATAATCAAGAAAAGAGGCCTTCAAGTAAAAGGAATTATATCGCCCGGGTAAAGGGCATTTGACCCTGAAAATCCAAAAGCATCACACCTTAGAGTGGAACAGCAAAACAGGAAGGAGATAAAGTAATTATAATTTTAGTATGGTTTGGAATAATTACACTTGGAATAACAAACTGAGGCTAAGCACTAGGAAGAGTAACAAAGAAGTGCAGCCACTCACAACCATTTCCCCAGGGACCTACCAAAGATAATTGTCATAGTAGTCACGTGGCCCTCTCTTGCCATTACAATGAGATTCAGTTGCCGAGCTTTTCTGTTCGCAGTATGCTCGAGAGACAACCTTTCCAGAGCTTTCTGCGTGAGAAAGATTACTTCAAGCAGCCTTCCCTGAATAATTGATTCATTGAGACCATTAAACTAGGATAATGAGACACAATCAGTTGAATTTTACGGGCATTATGAAGAGTCATTAATTAACCTGAGGCTGATAGATATATTAGCACAATGCTCTCTGGAGGGAGCTCTTTGCGAGTTGTTGCCATAACCTGTGCGTGAATAATGTAGTCAAACTGAAATCAGCCTCCCATCCCAATGAAGGGAATGAAAAATAAAAGATGCCCTCAAGGAAGAAATGAAATGGTCACAAACTTATATATGAGCCCTAGCCATTGATTTCTAATGGGAAAACTATGTCAAGTATCCTTGTACCATGGTTTTCAACGAGTACACTATCTGTTTTTTGTATAAGGTTTTGTTGAATTGAGCTGTGTTCTACCACTGCCGTAACCGTGTTTTACATGAAAAATATAACCGCCAAATACAAAGTTTACTTGCAGAAAAAAACTATGCCACAACATACACTGACTATAACTGTGCTCCACACGAGGGAAGGAACCAGTATCATTTATCTATAAAGAAATGCAAAAATTCAAATGAGGCCCGGTTGCCAGGAAATCCTGATAATGCAACCAGAAAAGCCTCATAAAAATGACAACAATTACTTCATTCTGAAAGCAGAGCAGCCTAACAGTGGCAAAAGGGTAACTTGAGTCAAATCAATAACGTAAGACCTGCAGAACTGACCGCTAGCAAATGGGTCACTGACGGACGATAAAGTACAGCTTTCCTGGAATTTGGTGGTAAAGTTGGATCAGTCAAATCCGCAGCCAAGTTTATATCTATCAATCCAGAAGCAGCTCCAACCCTGCATCAATGCTTCAAACCAGTGGATTGGAGGCTAGCCTTCAAGGGCTTCCTTTTCTTAAGCTTGACCTTAACACTAACACCATTATCAATAATAGCCTGCAGCACAAGCTGAAGCTTTCCTTCCAATCTCTCCCCTTTTCTTGGCGTGTAAATCACATCATGAATATCATCCGCCAATGCTCTCTGAGCTAAAATAGCTCCCACAGCAGAACAAGCAGCTGCATTCTTTGTTGAAGTCAGGTCGAATTTCAAGTCCTTCGATATCGAATGTGCCACAGCTACCACCTTACTAGTAACCCGATGAACAACACAAGCACGGACAGAGGCTTTTGATATGTAAATGTCAAGGCAAAATGGCTCATGATAAGGACCTGTAACCTGATTGAAAGTCGGAGTCCTGATCTTCTTCTTCTCTGCACCACCAGAACTATCCATATTACCAAGCAAAGTATAAACCTTTGGATCCTTCGCTATCTTTGTAAGTTTTTCAACATCAAAAGCTGAATTACGACTTGGGCTTTCCTTCCTTTTGCTTTCTTTGCTATTATCATTCCTCTTTGAAGACTCTTGCTTTTCATTTCCCTTAGGATCATCTTTTCTCCTCCAAGAATTCTTCCTGTGGAAGTCAAAACTGTACTCTTCAAACTCTTTGGAGTCCCGATCAAGCTTATAAAAAAGATCGCCTCGAATTCTCATATTATCAAGCTCATCAAAATCAGGGTCACCCTGCAAAGATTTAACATCATCAAACTGCTCATCAAATGCCTCAATATCTGCCTTCAATTCCTTTTCGCTATCCAATCCTCGCCATGCATGGGCTAAACCCGATGAAACCTGCCAGGTGTCATCGTCTACGAGCTCAATATTATAACCATCCAAATGAGGTCTGCTATCACTGACCAATGGAGAAATATGAATCGTGCTAGAGTACCTCGTTGATCTTTTATGAAGCGGTGCTTGTTCGGTCGTGTCGTATGCCTTGTCAATAGTTGTGGAGGCCTTCGAGCAAAATCCACTTACTCTTGAGAGAAAATGGGAACTCAGTAGTGATTGAAGGCTGATGAGTCCCCTAAATCGGTTTATTGTCATCTTGGATTTCTGAATTTGAGATAAAAATAAGTGGGCAATTCACCAAACAATTGATAGGCAACAGGGCAGATACTGAATGTTTTTCCCCCGCTGAGGTTAAACTAAGTCCAAGACATGTTTGAGGCAGAGGCAAGTCTTTCTGGTAAAACAACACCACTGCAAAGCTAAAAACTGTGGGAGAAGGTCAAGAGAATCCAACGTTTAACTTGATTCGGAATGTCCGATGGTGTGGAGAAGTGCTGCAATGAGGGCTCAATAATAATGCTACTTAGCACTGTTGTTTGTTTCACTCAATAAAGTAAAACTTAAAAAAAAAATTAAAAAATACCTTTTCTATGGTAAATGCATAAACAGCTAGATTTAAAATAAAATATTACAAGAAAATAATTAAAATCTAGCATAAATTATTAAAATCCTAACACATTTTTTTTTCATATGTTTTATTTTCTATTTTCATCTTTTGAAAATAAAGTAAAAACGATCCAATGTAATTAAAAAAATTCAAAAAACAAATTCTAACTATACATAGATTTAAAAAAAAAAAAGTAAGCATTTTTTTAATAATAATTTTTGGGATTTTTAATCATTTTTTCTTTTTTCTACAATTAAAACGTCCCCTTTGTCTTTTAAAGTCAAAATTAAGAAAAAAAATGGATTGACTTTTTTAGAAGAAAGACTTCTATTCTCTAGCAAACCAAATTTTAAGGATTTAATTATCTAAATTGAAACTATTGTTAGAGTAGGTGCTCAAAATCCAACCTTTACGAATGGTTTGATTTATTGTATCATTGTATTTTTATATTAATAGAAAAAATTCTTCTTATTTATAATTTGATAGAATTAGATAGAAGTCAATATAATATGCATCGCATTAATGACTAATCAATTGATGTGAAACAAACATTAATGCATTTAAATGATATCGTTAAATATCTCAAGTCATAGCATTATTAAGATTAGACATTAACAACATGTATTAAAACTTATGAGTGTTACGTTTTTACTATTAGATAGTAGTAAGAAAGCTCACACTTATTAACATGGTGATGTCAAAGCAAGCGAGTTAGATAAATAATGTTAGGGAACATATATCACTAGACGTGACTCGCTATGAGAACCCATTTGGTTTAGTATATGAGAATCTCATACGAGATAGGTACAATCGGTCCTTTGACATGAAATCATCATGGTTATTTCATTATAGGATTTATGTACTTTGACATTCGTCTCGATGAAGTCAATAAAGATCTGCATGTGGATGATTCATTGGGTGCACCGAGAATCTAACAAAGATAGGTGGATGACTAAAATAGGACATGTCATTCCTTATATGCTTGAAAGAGTTATCACATTACACTTCAATGAGAAAAATAAGTGAGCAATTCGCCAAACAATTGATAGGCAACAGCGTAGATACTAAATTTTGCTCCCCGATGTGGTTAAACTAACTCTAAGACAAGTTTGAAGTAGAGGCAAGTCTTTACGGTAAAATACCACCACCGCAAAGCTACAAAGTGTGGGGGAAGGTAAAGAGAATCCAATGTTTAACTTGATTCGGAATGTTCGTCGGTGTGGAGAAGTGTTGCAATAAGGGCTCAATAATAATGCTACTTAGCATCGTTGTTTGTTTCACTCAATAAAATAACACTTTTTTTTTTAAAAAAAATAAACTATTAAAAAATACATTTTCTATGGTAAATGCATAAACGACTAGATTAAAAAAAAATTATAAGAAAATAATAAAAATCTAGCATAAATTATTACAATCCTAACACAATTTTTTTCATTTTTTTATTTTCTATTTTCATCTTTTGAAAATAAAGTATAAAAGATCCAATGTAATTAAAAAAATTCTAACTATACATAGATTAAAAAAAAAAAGTAAGCATTTTTTTTAATAATAATTTTTGTGATTTTTAATCATTTTTTCTTTTTTCTACAATTAAAACGCCTCTTTTTTTTTTAGTCAAAATTAAGAAAAAAATGGATTGACTTTTTTAGAAGAAAGACTTATATTCTCTAACAAACCAAATTATAAAGATTTAATTATCTAAATTGAAATTATTGTTAGAGTAGGTGCCCAAGATTCAACCTTTCTAAATTGTTTGATTTATTGTATCATTATATTTTTATATTAATAAATTTTTTTTATTAATTCTTGTTATTTATAATTTAATAGAATTATATAGAAGTCAATATGATATGCATTGCATTAATGATTAATCAATTGATGTGAATCAAACATTAATATATTTAAATGATATCATTAAATATCTCAAGTTATAGCATCGTCAAGATTAGACATTGACAACATGTAGTAAAACTTATGAGTGTTACGTTTTTGCTATTAGAGAGCGAGTAAGAAACCTCCTACCTACTAACATGGTGATGCAAAAGCAATCACTTAGGTGAATAATGTTAGGAAACATATATCACTCGGACGTGACTCATGAGAACCCATTTGGTTTAGTCTATAAGAATCTCATACAAGATGAGTACAATCTGGTCCTTTAACATAAAATCATCACGGTTATTTCATTATAAGATTTACGTACTTTAACGTTCATCTTGATGAGCTCAATAAAGATCTACATGTGAATGATTCGTTGAGTGCATTGAAAATATAACGGAGATAGGTGAATGACTAAGATAGGACATGTCATTCCTTATATGCTAAAAGAGTTATCACATTGCACTTCGATGAGAAAAATAAGTGAGCAATTCACCAAACAATTGATGGGCAACAGGGCGGATACTAAATTTTGTTTCCCTGTTGTGGTTAAACTAAGTTTAAAGCATGCTTGAGGTCGAGGCTAGTCTTTTTGGTAAAACACCACCATTGCAAAGCTATAAACCGTGGGAGAAAGCAAAGATAATCCATTGTTTAACTTGATTCAAAATGTCCGTTGGTGTGGAAAAGTGCTTGCAATGAGGGCTCAATAATAATGCTACTTAGCATTGTTGTTTGTTTTGCTCAATGAAGTAACACTTCTTTTTTTAAAAAAAAAAGTACACTATTAAAAAATACCTTTTCTATGGTAATACATAGACATCTAGATGAAAACAAAAAATTATAAGAAAATAATAAAAATCTAGCATAAATTATTGAAATCCTAACATAATTTTTTTTTTTTTGTCATCTGTTTTATTTTCTATTTTCATCTTCTAAAAATAAAGTAAAAAAAATCCAACATAATTAAAAAAATTCTTAATACAAATGGATTAAAAAAATAAGCATTTTTTTAATAATAATTTTTATGATTTTTTGTAAATTTTTCTTTTCTCTATAATTAAAAACATATGTCTCCTTTTTTAAAAGTCAAAATTAAGAAAAAATGGATTGAGTTTTTTTTTTTTTTGAAGACTTCTATTCTCTAACTAACCAAACTATTAGGATTTAATTATCTAAATTGAAACCATAAGGATGCTTTTATACAAAATCAATACCATATGGATCTTTAATGGGCATAAATTTTCTAATGTTTTCAATTGAGCATAGAGAAGTTTATATTTTTTTTAATTTAAATACATGAACGTAAGAGTTTTTCTAATTAAATGCTTCTATTATAATAAATAAAACCATTTCATTTTTGGTCTCCAAGAAAACAATTAAAAATCGAAGAGAAATATAATCAAAATTACATGCCTTATGCATCATTAATATGTTGGTCAAGTATAAACTTACATTTTCTTGCATCATCTCAAAGAAACCAAGGATAACCACTATTCAACAGATTATAAAAATCAACAATAAAATCTTTACAAATCAACTATAAAATTGACATAAATACAACAATTATACAACTAAGCACCTAAAAAACAATTCATTCAATACCGAGTAAATAAATAAAAACTCTATATCCTAAATCCAATTACTCCGAAAATTAAAATTAAAAATCACAATTATATCAAAACAATTTCACAAGAAAAAATTAATTGAAACTAAATTGACAAAGAAACCTAAATTTCAAACAAGATCCATCAATTTAAAAAATAGAATAAAAAAACTTACAAAATCTTAAAAAACACTAAATCCCTCAAAAGAATCTTCAATTTCAAACAAAATGAAAACCAAATTATCAAAGAATTTGATCGAAACCCAAATTATGAAGGGGTTATAATGGAAGATTCATTCCTTTATAAGGTTCCTATTCTAGTCACGAATATGTAGAATAATGATCTTATGGTTATTCCAACTATAAAAGAAATCAAAGCTAATGTGTTTGAGTTAGATGATCAAAGTGCTCCAAGGCTTGATGGATTTACGGGTTCCTTTTTCAAAACCTGTTGGGAGATTATTAGTGAGGATATGGCTTCACCGATGTATGAGGTTTTTAGAGGAGGGTATATTCCAAAGGGGTCACGGCTATTACTCCGGTATTGATTCCCAAATGCTCTAATCCTTTAAATTATTCAATTTTGAGGCCTATTAGTTTATGTAACTTTACATATAAAATTTTATCTTAGGTGACTAACACTAGGTTGAGCGAGGCTTCTTTCTTATTTAATATCCAAAGAGTAATCGGGGTTTGTGAAAGGTAGAGTCATCCATGAGAATATAACTCTAGTCTAGGAATTATTTAATGATATTGATCGAAAGATCCAAGGAGGTAATGTCATTCATAAAGTGGATGTGACTAAGGCATACGATAGATTGGAATGGAGCTTTCGATCAAAGTTACGAGGAAGTTTAGATTCTCGAAGCTCTTGGTGCAATTTGATTTAATGCTCGTTTGAGTAATTATTGGTATTTAGTGTGTTTAAACTCTCAAACATTCGGCTTTTTCAAATCTCATACGGGGTAAGACAAGGAGATCCATTATCTCCTGCACTCTTCATTCTTGCTCAAGACACATTTAGTTGACAACTCAATACATGGATAAATAAGGGATTGATCGGTCCCTATTATATCGGCTACAATACGCCTATTATTTATGGATGACATGCTCATGTTTTGCAATGGGGGAAAGAGAACACTTGATAACATGAAATCTTTGTTA